ACCATCAGTATGATGTACTGAGGCATTTTTAGAGCCACAATAAGTAAATTATTACTATTTTTAAAGGTACCTATTGGGCTGATGGCCTGAAATAAGAGAATGCCCTTGAGGAGCAGGGCATGTTGTGTCATACCCCCGTCACAGTGCATGATGGAGGCATCGCTATCCCCATTTCACAGATGAGAAAAATAGGGCTCCAGGAAGATGACCAGCTGTCTGGCCCACTGGTGGCTGGGAGCAGGAGCTGGGATTCCAAGCCAGCCCACTGACTCAGTCAGTGACTAATTTTTTAATGTAAATTTGTTTTTGACATATACACAGAAAGTGTACACATCTCAGGTGAGTAAGCTTGGTAATTTTTCCAAAATGAACACACTGGTATAGGCAGAAATCAAATCAAAGAGCAGAACTATACCAGTCCCCAAGGAGGTGCCTTGTGCCCCCTTCCAACCACTGCTCCCTCGGTGTCACCACTGCCCTAACTTCACCCCCGTGTGTGTTTGAACTTGATACAGATGAAGTCACACAAAATGTATTTTTCTTTCATTCAAAATTATGTTTAAGTGATTCACCCATATTTTTGCATGTAATTGTGGACCCTTCATTTTCATGGTGGATTAGTATTTTACTCTGTGAATATACACAATTTATTTAGATAGCCCACTGTTGGTAGACAGTAAAGTTGTTGTTTGCAATTGAGTTCCTCCATGAGCATTTGTGTATGTGCATTTTGGTGAACATGTGTACACCTGGAAGTAAAACTGCAGGCCATAGGGGTTCAGCTTTAGGAGATGGCCCAGTTTCCCCAAGTGGGTGTGCCAGTCTACCCACCCACCTGCAGCATCCTGAGAGTTCCAGTTGCTCCACATCCTCACCAACACTTGCTATTGTCTCATTTTCATTTTAGCCATACTTGTTGCCATCTCACAGAGTCACATCATAGTGTTAATTTGTACATCCCTGATGATCAGGAAGTTGAGCACACTTTCATGTATTTAATGGCCATTTGGATATTCACTTGTGCAAATGATCCCGTTTTAATTTTGTCTTTAGTCAGAAAACATTTCTGAGAATGGCTCCCATGCTGGAAAATTCTTTCTCTTCCCACCTAGGTGGTCATTTCTAAACCTTGACGTCTGACAGTTCTAAGAAGTTCCACAGCAAAGGGGAGTGAGAAGGAGGAGTTGGAGGGATGGCCCCAGCCAACACTGGGCATCCTCAGAGCTCTGGATGTTCCACAGCAGCACCGAGGGCTTTCTCTGTGCACTGTGGGATTGCTGTGTGGTCATCAAAAATTAGGAGAGATGATTGCTACTTCACATTGAAATCTAAAGACATGGTCTGAACTCTAGCCCTTCTTTTCTCTCTTCCTTAGGAATTTGGGCTCTGGATTGATTTCAATGACTGCAGAGGAGTGAAGATAAAAGGCAACCTGTCCCTCTGTTCAGCTCCTAATTAGGCAGGGAACACACAGGGAGCTGAGTTTGCTGATAAGGCCATGCATTTGGGGCATTGAGGACCTAGTATGTGCCTAGAGTGTTAAAGTGTTTAAGAAAGCTTTTAAGCTTTGGCGAGGATTATCAAACTTTAACAGCTTAAAATTTTTCCTGATATAAAATGCAAGCCCATCTCCAATCAGAGAAGGAGCTGCTTGTCTGCTGGCCAGAGCCTATCCTGGAATGGGTGGGCGTGAGAGCAGAAAAGGCTTCTTAGTTTTGGGGCAGCCTGTTTAGGTGGGTGCAGACCTCATGGCAGAAGAGGGGTCAGCAGTGAGCTGGAAAGTGGTCAGGGCCAGAGAGTAAGAGCCTGTGTGTGTGGACTGTGAACCTAGGAGACGGGTGACCCTCTTTCACTTCTCACCTTAAAACAACATTGTATGAGTGCATGGTGTTTAAGGCTGGCAGCATGCAGCTCCAAATACAGGCTTTGGGGCTGTGTGATTCTGAACAAACCTCTTCACTTCTCTGAGCTTCAATTTTCTTTTCTCTAAAATAGGCATGGTCACATCTAAATGAGATAAGCCTCGAAGAGCAAAGAGGACAGGAGAGATACTCAGTAAATGTGGCTAAGATGTAAGACAGGTTCCAGCTTTCAGCTGCCTGGGTTCAACTCCTAACTTTGCCACTGACCCGCTGTGTGTCCTTGGGCAAGTGATTTACCCTCTCTGTTTCAATTTTCTCCTCCTTAAAACAGGGATAATAATAATAGTTCCTACCCCAAGAGGTTGTTGTGATAGGAGTTTGATACATGCATTCACATGAGTTGATAGAAATAAAGAGCTTAGCCAGGGCCCGGCCACATAATAAGCCTTCAGTAAAGAGTAGCTGCAGTTGTGTTTCATCCTTCACAGTGCCTGGCAGGTAAATAACAGTTGCTCATTAAATAAGGACTACTGGTTTTCCTTCTCCCCAACGTCCAGTGGTACCGCAGCAAGAATTGGTGCTGTGGGAACTAAAGGATCATGGCAACTTGCAGTGGGGATGTCAGCTTCCGTGGAGATGTCAAAGATGGGAGGGTTTGGGTTGGGTGGGGGAGGGCAAGGGGTTTGCGGAGGCATGACTAGGGGAAGCGCAAAGCTTGGATCAGAGGCACTTGGAGGGCAGGGAGCAGGGAGCTGGGTGCAGGAGTGTTGCTAGAGGAGAGGTGGGGATGCCTTGAGGAGGGTGTCAGGTACTGGCCTATGCATGTGACCATGTGACTTGGGGGTGAGTGATCTGCCTTCTGGGCCTGAAAAGAATGGATGCCCGGGCTTCCTTGGCCAACTGAGAGGGTTTGTATGAGGATCAAAAGAGGATACAGAGGTGAAAGTGCTTAAAACCACTAACATTTCATGCAGACTCACCACGCACGGTCTCGCCTCAGGGGAAGAGCTGGATACGTTCTTGGGCAGGGCTTCCAATGCACCAACCAAGTCCAGCTTTCATTTTAATGTCTCTCCTTATGTAACTTCACAGCTCTAGTAAATGAAAATCCTGTAAAACGCATTCTTGACCACCTTCCCATCCCTTGTGATATTATTCCTATCACAACTCTGTCTTAGTACTTACCATTTACAGTTTTATTGTATCTTAGCACATTATAGAAAGCTTTTAAAATATTCCTTGTTCTGCTACCAAAAAGAAGTGTTGAGATGCAGCTCTAGGCCTCCAGTATGTTCCTGTAGGCTTGAGGAGGCTAAGCCTGTACAGGCTGTTGAGACAACATGTGACCACCGTCATCTTCATTCCTGATCCAGCTGACCAGCGCTGGAGGTCCTCTCCCTCCAGACCTCGCAGTCTGTCCTGTTATATGCCTCTGTGCCTGTTTTCCTAGAATACCTTTCGTAACTCACATCACATAAAACTCCTATTCACCCTTCAAAATCCCATTCATGTATCCCCTCTTTGAAGCTTTCAAACAATCCTTCCATACAGAAACTGCTGGGTGAATGTCTTGTGCATGTAGTAATTATTACATACATATCTACCCTCTATTCCAATTATTCACCTGTTTAAACCCCAAGACCACTTGTCTTTCTCCACTTCCAGGGATGCCTCCGGTCCTGGGTCCAGAGGGTCTAGAAGAGAATTGGAGCTTAATAAGTGTGTCTGCAATGAACTCTGTTAGGCTTGGTCCTATGTCCAGAGGTTCCATGGATTTTAATTTATGAATGTTTCCAGAACTGAGTATTAGAAGGAAATGCATCCCTCTGCTGCTGGCCCCCAAAGGAAGGTGTAGAGAATTCAGACATTTAACAGCCTCCCTAACTTACCCTGTTTCTAAGAGGAAGCCGCCTTTAGAGACCCCTAGGCCACTTTCATTCTAGCAAGACCTGTAGGGAGAAAGTATTTTTTACATTAAGACACACTAGACACCTACATCAAAGACACGACTTTCACGGGACAATATTTACCCTTGCTGTGGACATTGCTCTCCAATCCCTCCCT